AAAGCAGTCACTCAAACAGAACAAGGGGATTCTGTGTGGTTTAAAATCAGGAAATGTGGCTGCAACAGTAGGCTCAAACATAGCAACAATTGTGATGATGATGCAGGGCCGGGGGGTGTTTTGCCCTGTTGTACATTGGGTCACTATGAGTCAGAACTGGCTCAACAACACCTAACAACAACAACCACTAATGTAAAGTTAGGCAGTTTTAATCCACCCAGAATTACCAAGAAAGAAAGGCCTGGTGATCTGCTTCTGTAAAGATTACAGCCAAGAAAGCACTATGGATCAGTTCACTCTGTAACACAGGGGGTTGCCATGAGTCTGAATTGACCTAATGGCAACAGGTTTGTTTTTCCTGTTGTTGTTTTAGCCACCTAACAACAACAACAACAACAACCAGATAGCAGAGCAAGAAGCTCTCATGTCTCTGACTTTGTGGAGTGTTTTCAAGAGCTAGTGTTTAAGTAAGAATTCTTTTGTTGATGGAATCTCCAGTACGTGCCAGGCAAAGTACTGGGTAATTTATCAGACTTTGAAGTTTTGAATTGGGTCATATTGACATTCCCACTGTGCAAATGAGAAAAGTGAAACTTGAATGTAGATCAGTAGGTATACAAGTGGTGGAATTCTCACTTTCCATGTGAGATACCTGGCTTTGTTTCTTGGCCAGTACACCTCAAACACAGCTACCATCTCTCTGTGGAGGTTTGTGTGTTCTATGATGCCGAACAGGTTTCCAGATTAAGACAGACTAGGAAGAAAGGCCTGGCAATCTACTTCCAAAAATGAGCCAATGAAAATTTTATGGATCACAACAGTGTGATCCACAACTCATCATGAGGTCTCCATGAGTTGGGAGCTCATTTGATGGCAGCTAAACAAAAAGACAACAAAAAGACACATCATGCTATAATGGAGTTTTAAAAGATTCCTAAACCCACCAGCCACTCCCCAGAAGGAAAGTGGGGCAATCTACTTCCATAGTGATACTCCCTTGGAAATCCAAGGAGAGGTCGCTAGGAGTTGGGTCCAACTCGATGGCACATAACAACAACAACAACATATTACTCAAGAAAACTAGGAAGCAGTGGGGTGAAGGTTCAAATCTGAGTATGTCTGATTCCAAATTCTAAGTTCTTTGGGCCACCTTACTACAAGAACATGCACATACATGTGCCATACATTTACATTGTTTCAAATCCGAGATCAGACCTGGAGCAGGCATGGGGGTGTTCTGCTGTGAGGTGATCAACTGCAGCTCCTGTAACACTTCCCTTTAGAAATTTTTCTAAATTCTAGCCTCTCTGTCCCAAAACTCCTATCCTGCCTGAGTCAGAAACCAACCAGCCAGCCAGCAATTTGCCAGAGTAATATTTTAAGTTTCTTCCTGCAACCCGAGAGCTCTGGTGGTATAGTGTCTAAGCATTTGACTGCTAACCAGAAGGCTAGCAGTTCAAACCCACCAGACACTCCTTGGAAAGTTGGGCGATCTATTTCCATAGAGATACCACCTCGGAAACCCAAGGAGGGGTTGCTATGAGTTGGATCTGACTTGACGGCCTTGAGTTCGAGTTTTGTCTTTTTTTTTTTTTTTTTTCTGCAACCAGTGAATTCACTGTATGGATTGAATTGTATCCCCCAAAAAATATGTGTCAACTTGGCTAGGTCATGATTCTCAGTATTATGTAATTATCCTCCACATTGTAATATTATCTAATTATCCTATCTTTTGTAAATCCTAACATCTATGATATTAATGAGGAGCTCTGGTAGCATAGTGCCTAAGGCACTTGACTGATAATCAGAAGGCTGGCAGTTCAAACCCACCGGCCACTCCTCAGAAGGAAGATTGGGCAATCTACTTCCATAGAGATACCACCTCAGAAACCCAAGGAGGAGTCACTATGAGTCACATCCCACTCGACAGCAGTGAGTTTGGTTTTTATGATATTAATGAGACAGGATTAGAGGTAGTTATGTTAATGAGGCAGGATGCAATCTACAGGATTAGATTGTATTTTAAATCAATCTCTTGGGATATAAAAGAAATTAAACAAGTGAGCAGAGAGGAGGGAAACTGACCACCACCAGGAAAGAAGAGCTGGTGGTGAATTGCATCCTTTTGACCTGAGTTCCCTGCACAGAGAAACTCCTAAACCCAGGGGAAGATTGATGCCAAGAGACAGGGAGATCTCCAAGGAATACTGGCCCACAGATGTTGACAGGAAACAAAGACCTTCCTCCACAGCTGACAGAGAGACAATGCCTTACCCTCGAGCCAGCACTCTGAATTTGGACTTCTAGCTTCTAAATTATGAGAGAATAAATTTCTGCCATACACTTGTGGTGTTTCTGTTATAGTGACACTAGATAACTAATACATTCACTGAGGAAAGATTTATTTTCATAGTCACAGTTAGCCCCAAACGTAGGGTCTGGATTTGTCAACAGCCACAATCATAAAGAAAATGGATGGGACATGTGCTTTGAACTTGCTTGTGAGCACATCTGAAGTAATTCTGAGGACAGAATGGAAATGTTTATAGTCTAGTGGTTTTGAGGAGGGAAGCTCCATCGGGGTCATTGTAAGAATGAGGGTTGGGGAGGAGATCATCAGGGAGGCGTGATGAAAGGACTCAGCAAAGACTGTAACATGAGGGGGCCTGTCTCAGTCACCTTCTGAAAGCCTTAAGGGGAAGCTGGTTCCACTTTCAACATGGAATTTGAACAACCCCAAAATCAGATTGTATAAATTCCTACAAAGTTTGTTATTTTAAGGATATTGTCATCCATTTAGGGACTTCTTCCTAAAGTCATAGGAATTTCATTTACAAATTAGTGCTAGATTTAAAAATGTGAAATCAGAATGAGGTCTATATTTAAGAATGTTATACAGTATCTGTTCCCTGGTTTTGATCATTGCATTACAGTGATATGAGATAATATCATTTGCAGAAGATGGTAAAGGGAACACAGGAACTTTCTGTAGTATTTTTGCAACTTCTTGTGAGTCATAACTATTTCAAAATAAAAAGTTATAAGTTGTAAAAAAAATTTTAAAAGTGATCCAAGAGCATTGCTTTTCCTAAAAAACCTAGCATGTCATTTTTCTGATGGTGACAATTCTTCATTTTCCTTTGGCTATAGGAAAACTCAGAGTCAAATTAAAACTTCATTCTAGAAATAGGCCCTGGTGGCCTGTATATTTATGTTCTTCCTCCAAATGTTGACTTTCTACACTTATTTATATTTTCCTGCCTCTAACTTTTCATTCTCATTTTTATTTTACCATTATTTTATTATGTGAATTTGTGTGAGTAGCTTTCAATCCTTTATGGAAAGAAACAGTATATAAATAAAATAACTGGCACAGCTAGTTTATGAGGTATCTGAGTTTGTTTGTTTGTTTGTTTTAATTATCTAGGATTTTTGTTTTCCTGTTACCTTAAAGTATTTTCCTAGTATCAATTCTCCCGGTTTCTATGTAGGATTTCGCCCTGAGAATCATACACAGGTTTCCTGTGCATTGAAGATTTCAGCCTTGGTTGGGAAGGTATCAAGCAGACCAACACCCAGTTAATGAGCAGCATAAGTTTTCACCTTTTCAGGTGTTCCCTGAGGCAGGGCCAGACACAGACACTCCGAATGAGCCATTACAGACTGGTCATCTCTGCCAGCAGGTTCACTGTCAGGGATGCCTTTTTTCAGGTGTAGCAAGTTTGAGATCATTGCGATGACTCCTATTCAAATGCTAATACTTCTCTGAGGAGGAAGACAGTTTTAGCAGCTGCATCCTAGAGAGAAAGCCTTTGGAAAATGCATTACAGGAAAGCTCCTTTTGTGAATGAACAAATGTGAGCCACAGACTCCTCATACCAGCTTGTTATGATAATTCATTTCAACTGTGGACCCACTCAGAGCTCTCAACAGATCCAAAGCAAATCAAAACGGAGCAGCCTAAGCAGCCAGAGAGGAGGGAAAACCACAGACAGGCTCTTGGCAGAGGTTGAAGGCAATACTATACAGCCCTAAGTATCCAGCCACAAGCCACCAAGTGGAATAGAAAGGGCATGATGGATTTAGAGATAAAAAATCCAACTCTGCCACAGGAGATGTGACCTTCGATGAGCTTTGCCTCCTCTCTTAGCCTCAGTTTTTTTCCCATTGTAATATACATACAAATACAGTCCAACCCATGGACGAACATGTGTAAAGGGCACAGCGTCTGGCATGCTGTTGTCACTCACAAATGTTCAATCTTTATCCCCTCTTCAAAAATAACAGCAACAATAGTAATAGCTAAGATTCATTATGTGTCAGATGCTGTTCTATGATATAAAATCAAAACCAAACCCACTGTCATCGAGTCAATTCTGACTCATAGCTACCCTATAGGACAGAGTAGAACTGCCTCACAGGGTTTCCAAGGCTGTAAATCTTTATGGAAGCAGACTGCCTCATCTTTCTCCCACACAGCAATTGGTGGGTTCAAACCATGCACCTTTTGCTTAGCAGCCAAATACTTTAACCACTGGGCCACCAGAGCTCCTTGCTCTGTGTTATAGGAATACAAAAAGAAATAAAACAGGATTCCTGCCATTGAATGGATGATGATTGATGTTCATAGAGTACTATGTGCATCACCCTATTTAAGCCTCACAGCAGCTCTTTGAAGTTGGTACTGCCATTCATTGCCATTTTACAGATGAAGAATAGTAGCAACACTTCTCAACTGCAACAAGTGGACCATGGATTAAACACTATAAAGTAGTTCTTGAGGATCTGAAGGATTGGGAGATACTAGACTGCACTGTTGAGGAATGTATTGGGGTCTCCTTACACAGAACTTTGAAGAAAACATGAGAGAACTGTTGAGTTTGGAGGAGAGTGATATGGTTATTGCAGCCCCAGCCAAGGTCCGGGGAGATGAGTTAGAGGATGCTGACAGCTTCCTATGGCCTCTCTTTCCCATGAGTCCCTGGTTCTCTTCCCTGCAGGTGTCTGCAGCAGAAGCCTGGGGACAGCCTGCCCATGGCCAGTGTCATCCTCTGTTTCCACAACGAGGCCTGGTCCACCCTGCTGAGAACTGTGCACAGCATCCTTGACACAGCGCCCAAGGCCTTCCTGAAGGAGATCATTCTCGTGGACAACCTCAGCCAACAAGGTAGCAACAGGCTTCCTCCAGGTTTCCTTGGGTGGCCCCTGAGGAATTCCCAAGCCAAAGGTTAGGGTTTGGAACCTCTTTGAGGCCAGGTTCCCAGCAACAGACCCCAACATGAGGATTCATGTATAAGAGATTTATTAATGAAGAGCCCCCAGGAAAAACCAGTAAATAAGTGGGAGAAGCCAGATAGAGAAGGGGAGAACTATGCTGGGCAAAAGTCCCCAGGGCAGAAGGGTCACTTCAGCAGATCCTATGAGGCATCAGTCTCTCAGACCCCACCTCCATGCAGTACAGTAAACTCCCCAAGACATTCTAAAAAGCCACAAAGGGCAGCCATTTTGTGAGAATTCTGTCCATCCTTGACATGGGGAAGCACTTATATACACGTCATTAGGTAATCATTGTTTAGCCCATTCTACTCACTTTCCAAGTGAGGAAACTGAGGCTCAGAGAAGATAATTGACTAGAGTGGAATCACACCAAAAGCAGAAAAGTCAGGAAGAGAGCCTAGACTTTCAGAATCAGCTTGAATACATCCACTGACAGGAAACTCACCTCCATGGACAGCCCATCCCATTGCTGGGTACTCAAAAGAAGATGGAGACAGAGAAGCCCCCTGCCTTGCTGCTTCTAGGCCTGTGCTTCTCAGACTTGAGTGTGTGTCAGGGTCACCTGGTAGACTTGTTGAAGCACTACTTGCTGAACCCACCCCAGAATTTCTGACTGAGTAGCTCTTGAGTGAGGCTGAGAATGTACATTTTTAACAAGTTCCCAGCTGATGCTCGCACTACTGATCTGGGGATGTCCATTTGAAAACCACTGCTCTAGACTGTGGCCTGGGGCCTGAGGCTTACAGTTTTGCCTCAACTAAATAAACTTCCCAGCCCCTCTTGACCTTGTGGGAAAATCGGACTGCTCCAGAGGGATGCTAAGCCTTTGCTGAGATCTGCAAAGTGCTTCTCTTAGGGGAATGATAGAGGACAGCAGAGAGTGGCCAGGTGCCTCTGTTAATTCTTTCTAAGGTCCTGATGTCAGGAATTGATCCAGCCTTCCCACGGCAGTTAGTCAAACCAGTCAGAGGTTCCAAGTGAATATGGGATTACTGGGCCACCTCTGACTGTGTATTGGGCAGGACTGAAAGACTGGTGCTAGACTGGGCTTGGTTGGCTGCTGAAAGTAGCCAGAGACCCTCCAACCCCCTGGCTGGGGAAGGGTCTTCCCTGAGAGCCCACTTGTGGTCACTCACACCCCATCAGCTGCTCAGCATGTATGTCAATAGCCCCTCAGGAACCTTCCTGTCTCCTTAAGCATGTGTGGCAGTGGACAAGCCAGGCCCGGGGAAGCAGGCTACCTCCCAAATCCTCACCTCTGATCTCATCAGAGGGTATCTGGATCTCAGGCCCAGTAATCAAACTGCTGCCTCCTTGCTCACTCTCCCTCAGCCCCTCACCACCAGGTTGGCTCTCCTTCCAGCAGCCCCGTGTTACCTGCTGACACTGGGGTGCAAGACCCTGCCCACAACCAGGAGCATTGCTGGCTCCTTTTGTCCTCAGGTACTCTCCTCTATGTGCCTGCCAAGAGTTGGAGCCTGGACAAGGGCCACTATGCATGCTACTTTGCAGAGGCAGGGCTTCCCAACCTCATTTACCCACAAACATGCTGTGAGTGGCTCAGGGCCATGCCACAGGGCTGTTAAGCTGATGGTCACAGCGGTGTGGCACAGTGTGATAGGGTCAGCTAGATGTGCCTCAGGTTACTCATCTGTGAAATGGGAGTAACAACACCCACATGGAATCAGAAAATACATGTGTTGCTCAGCCTATGAGAGACCCTTCATAAATGGAAGTCAGTATTATTGCTGTTTTCTGGAAGGAATAGATCAAGAACCACACCAGCTCCTTACTTCTGAGCCTTCTGTACCTATACCAGGCCCCCCAACATGTGAACTTCTTACCTGCTTTGAAAACTCTCTAAGAATGTCAAATCACCATTACAGTCTGGAAGTTTTTCCTCAATCTATTCTGGACATCTTTTGCTAGTGTCTACTGTGCCTAGAAGGAGCCCTGAATACACAGTGGATAAATGCTCGGCTGCTTACCAGAAGGTAAGTGGTTCGATCCCACAAGCTGACAACTCTGCAGGAGAAAGATGTGGCAGTCTGCTTCTGTAAAGATTCACAGCCTTGGAAACTATATGGAGCAGTTCTACTGTGCTTGATAGGCTTGCTCTGAGTTGGAAAGGACTTAATGGCAAGTTTGGTGGGTTTTTATTTTACTTTATTTTTTATGTTTTGGTTACTGTGCCTAGAATTTTACCCTAAATAACACCAAGTATTACAGCTACAGAGATCAGCTATCAGATCAGCCCAAGGAGGACCTCATGAACTTAATGTCTGGTGAGGTCACTCACCAGTGAGGGATTATGTTGGGCTACATGGAAGAAAATCTGCTACAGTGACTTAACCAACCAGTAAAATTCATTGCCATCGAGTCAATTCTGATGCATAGTGACCTCCATTGGGTTACAAAGGTGGTAAATCTTTATAGAAGTAGATTGCCCCATCTTCCTTCTGCAGAGTGGCTAGTGGGTTTGAACCACCAACCTTCTCGTTAACAGTCAAATGCCTTAGGCACTGTGCCACCAGAGCACCTTAAACAACTACTGGAGACTTACTTTTATTTTGTATTATTATTTTTTACATTATAGGAAGCCAGTGGTTGGTAAAGCAGGGTTTGTATGGCAGGTCCACAATGGCATGAGGAACCTAGCTCTTTCTGCTTTCCACTTAGCCATACTTAGAGTGTGGTTTCAGCCTCATGTTCATGACAGGGCTGCTTCACTTCTGGGAGTCACATCCACATTTCAGACAGAAAAAGGGTTAAGAGCTGTTAGGCAGCTTTGACCCTTAAAAAAAAAAAAATAGTAAAACAAGAGTTTTCCCAGAATCCTCTCACCTAGTATATTTCTACTGGAGTGGATCACGTGGCTACTCCTAGCAGCAAGGGAATCTTGGGCGGTGAGTGCTTTTAGCCTCCCTGAACAAAATCAAAGTTCTGTTAGTAAGATGGAAGGGGAGAGTGAATGTTAGAGAAGATAACTAGCAGTGTTCACTGCAGTGGAGTCCCAGAGGGACTGGTTCTTAGGTGTGTTAAGTTCATAAAAGCTAACAGATCATGCCCTAGGGAATGAAGTGGTGCTAATGAGCTTACCACTGAGAAGTTCTGCCAGGAGCTGTGTTCTGCATAACTCCCTGGCACATTCAGGAGAGGCACCTCTAGTTACCCAAGGCACATCTCCAGAAAAGGGTGCAGGTTGCAGTTAGCAGCACACCCTCACCAGCTGGAGTGTACAAATCAAACTATTAAAGGGGATGGCAGGGCATTTGTGTAGGGCACCGACAATGTGTGCTACAGCTGCACCTCTATATTTAGAGAATGTTAGCAAGTGCTTGAAAGTCCTCTTCTGAATTTATGACACTGTCTTTCCTGATTTCTACTGGTGAGAATGCTGACTCCTTCCAAACTCTGGAAGCATCCTCTCTTTTAGTAGCAACCACACTATAATAATGCATTTGATTTTTGGGATCTTTGTGCTCACCAGAGCTTCATAGAGATCATTGCTGACGGTTATCTTAGTAATGGTCCTCACAATCTCAGTTGGCCATGGCATCTGTGGTCCAATTGACCACTACTCTGTTGGTTCCAGGACAGCACAAGTCGGCTCTCGGCGACTACGTGGCCACCCTGGAGGGTGTGAGGTTGCTCAGGAGCAACAAGAGGCTTGGCGTCATCGAGGGCCGGATGCTGGGTGCTGCCAGGGCCACAGGGGATGTGCTGGTCTTCATGGATTCCCACTGCGAGTGTCACCCAGGCTGGCTGGAGCCCCTCCTCAGCAGAATAGCTGGTGACAGGTAACTCAGCCCCTGGGGCCTGCAGAGAAAGAAGTGGGATTGGGAAAAATAGCCTTACAGTCCCAGGCATTCACAGGACATCTATCCCTCTGTTATGGATTGAATTGTGTCCCCCCAAAATACATTGGAATATATCCCCTATACCTGTGGATATAAACCGTTTGGTAATAGCATTTTCTTTGCTATGCTAATGAGCTATCCCAGTGTAGGGTGTGTCTTAAACCTGATGACTTTTGAGTATAGAAAGAACAGATTAGACACAGAGAAGCAAGCACAAATGAAGGAGAGACAGATGCCTCATAGAGATTATCAAGGAACCGCAGAACCAAGAGCTAGAGAAGCTGAGACAAGGATTTTCCCCAGAGCCTTCGCCTAGAGCCAGTGCCCTGAATTCGGGCTGAACTGTGAGAAAATAAATGTCTGTTTGTGAAAGCCACCCATTTGTGATGTTTCTGTTGTAGAAGCACTAGAAAACTAAAACACCCACCATTTGAAAAAGGGCCTGAGCTTCCATGATTAGAGAGATATATTGCTGTGAATTTTTCACCTGTTGGATGGGAGGTTACAAGTCTTCAATCCATTTGCCTGGTATTATAATCCTGGAGAGTGGCTTCTATTATGTTGTAAATACCCCTGGGAAGGGTAACACTTTTCTATGGCTATCATTACCTTTGATGAAAATTCCCCAGTTTTAATTAGGATTGCAGTTTTGTTGTTGTTGTTGTGTGCCATTGATTAGATTCTAAGTCATAGGGATCCTATATGACAGAATAGAACTGCCTGGTAGGGTTTCTTAGGCTGTAATCTTTATGGGAGCAAATCACATGGGACTGTGGGTAGGTTTGAACTGCCGACTTTTCTTTTGGTTAGCAGCCAAATGGTTAACCATTGCACCACCCGGGCTCCTCTGATTACAGTATAAACTAAACGTCTGCAGGCTGTAGATTACTCATCTGTTTAAAAAAAAAAAAAAAGTAATAATGCATTAGACTCTGATAGTTGACATTCGATCAAGAACTATCATTCTTTGGTTTTCTGGCTTATATATTGTTGTTGTTATTAGGTGCCATTGGGTCAGCTCCAACTCATAATGACCCTATCTACAGCAGAACGCAACACTGCCTGGTCATGCATCATCCTCACAATTCTTGCTGCACCTGCTTATATAAAGTATGTCTAATTTTCTTATTAAGGCCAGCTCTTGGAAATACTGTAAAGTTGGAGAGTGTTGTATTACACACCACACAGCCAAACATCTTCAATTTTGACCATTTCTCCCTCCCCAGTCTTGCTGGCATTCACTTTAGCACTTCCACATGCAACTCAAACAGTGCTGGAACACATCCTGTCAACCATTTCCTTTATTCTGAATATCCAATTCAGGAAAACCAAACCCTGGTGGCTAGCCAGGGACTGTCTCAGGTACACTCCTTGGGGCTGAAACAGGCCTGTCACACAGTAGGTATTCAATAAATGATTATTATTGATGGTGTCCAGCAGACAAAGTTGATGCCAGAACCTAAGCCTATGACTTTAGCATTCCTACTCATGATAAATGTGTACTGTCTAGATTGAAATGGGGACAACAACATATAAGAAAAAAATTCCCTGGACCACGTTGGGATAGATCCTACAGGTATAGATCCTGCTAGATGGAGGATATTTCGGGCAACGCAAAGTAGACTGTTAATAGTTCAGCATTCCCATTTTAATAAAGAAAAACAATCAGAGCTGTGAAAATCAAGATGGATTAATTTTGCCTGATTCCATGACACAGATTATTGCCTACTTGTGGGTCACATCTCATAAGGAAAAAAGACTTGCATAAATTCAGCACTAAAACTAACAAAAGAACATGAATACATTCTATAAGGCCACCATCTTTGATTCTGTCCTATGCAAAGGACTATCTCAACATTACAATGAGTGTATAACATTTGAAGTTGAACTCTTAATTTGTCTCACCCATTCCTCAGTCCATTCCTATCCTGATATCATAGATGAATGGCTCTCAGTGGGAACTTTAAGATCATTTAGTCCCACCTCAGTGCATGTGTGTATGCATGTGTGCATAATTTCACTGTTAAAAAAAAAACCTGAGTTCCAGAAAGGGGAAAGAGATTCCTCAGGGTGAGTCACACAGCTACGTGACAACTGAGGTGTTTTCTCTGCCTCTTAGTCTCTGCTTTTTATTCAAACATTTAGCAAGCCAGTAATTAGTATTATTAAGTCTTATGTATGCATAACCTTGACAGACTACTTTTGTATAAATTCTCTAATGATCCCCTTGTCAGATGGCCCAGGCAGATATTTTTGCTTCCATTTCATAAAGAAGGAAACTGAGTCTCTGAAATATGAAATAATGTGCAAGGACATGCAGAGAACTAATAGCTGAGTCAGGTTTTCTGACTCTGGGTCCAGTGCTCTTTTTATTGTGTATTTTTTTTTTTTTTCTAAGAATTGAAGAGAAACTGATCAGGGGGAAACACTTGTCATTCCCATCCCCACCCCTGGTGGTGAGACGTGTGAAAACATTGATGAGTCCCTTATCTCTGCATCTAGCATTGGTGCTGTAGCCACAGATCTAGAGTTTTCTCACTGTAGGCTGAGGGAAAGAGACAGGCAATACCTCAGTGTCCTCAGCTATCAAAATGGAGTTGCCTGAGAAACCTTCTGTGATGAAATAAAAAAAAAAAAAAAAACCCTCACTTCCATCAAATCAGATCCAACTCATAACGACTCCTCCTTGGGTTTCCAAGGCGTTATCACTATGGAAGTAGATTGCCCAACCTTCCTTCTGAGGAGTGGCTGGTGGGTTTCAATCTCTAGCCTTCTGGTTAGCCTTCAAATGCCTTAGGCACTACGCCATCAGAACTCCTTCTGTGATTTATTGTTGTTGTTTTGTGCCACTCAGTCGGACCGACTCATAGCGACCCCTCCTTGGATTTCCAAGGCAGTATCACTGACTGGCGGTTCAAACCCACCAGCCACTCCTCGGAAGGAAGGTTGGGCAATCCTACTTCCGTAGTGATCCTGTCTCGGAAACCCAAGGAGGGGTGGCTATGAGTCGGGGCCAACTCGACAGCACATAACAACAACAACAACAATAACATAACTACAGAAGTGGATTGCCCCATCTTCCTTCCCAGGAGTGCCTTCTGTGATTAAGAGATGCTAAATCAGTGAAATTCTAATTTCCTGCATCCTTGTCCTCCCCTCTTTACGAAACTCTACTCTCCCCGTCTGTCTCTCTCTCCCTGTCTGTCTCTCTCTCCCTCTCTCTCTCTCCCTCCTTCTGCCTCTCCCTTTCCTTTTCTTTCCCCCCCCCACCACATACACACACACACAGAGACATGATTTGTGTGATTTGAATTTTCGTCATCCCCACACCTCTTTCATGGCTTCCTGTCTACTCTGTTTGCTCTGGACTCTATGTGAGGGTCTGAAAGAAAACCTGCTTTTTTCATGACAAAAGTTATTCTCTCTCTTCACTACAAACAGCACTGCTATGTAAGCTGCAGTCTGAGAAAACACCCCTTTTCGAGATTTACTTTACTCCCCCAGGGATTTTGCTCAAGTGTTTTCTCTGGGATGCCTATGTCAGCTCACTTTGTGTAGTGCAAAGCTGTAGAAGCCAATAAGTGCAGCTCCTAACAGCTGTGGATCTTTGTGAGAGGACCCAGCTGTCTTTGAGGCTCATGTCAAGAGATATCTGTCACCAGGTGAGGAATCATTGGCCAAAAAGGGAAAGGGCTTTTATGAAGGTGCGTATGGTGAGTGAACAGTATAATAAGCCACAAATCATCTACTTCAAATTTCATAACCTCTTCAAAGTGGTTATCAGAGAATTGAGGGCCTGGTAACCAACCCTGACTCCCTGCCCCTGCCCATGGAGCAGGCCCGTTGCTTGTCACATAGTAACTTCGTATGAATCTGTAAAAGGAGTCCCTTTCTCATGACCCTTTACTTTCATTCCTCAGAAAATTTGCCATACTGTACTGATTTTGTTATAACAAGACATATTGACACCAACTGCCAAAAAAAATGTCAAAATAAACAGGTAACTTACAGTGTCTATGATGTTACTGGTGTTCTCTAGGGTTGAGCAGTGCACAACCCATGTACTACTTGAGGGTCTGAAAGAAAACCTACTTTTTTCATGACAAAGTTCTTCTCTCTCTTCACTACAAACAGCACTGCTATGTAAGCTGCAGCCTGAGAAAACATCCCTCTATAGCAGCCCTAGACAGAGTGTCTCTGTAATTGTTTTCAGGGCAGTTCTGGGAAGTGCTGATTGGTGGTCAGTTTCAACATAAAGTAACAAGGATGAAAATCAAGAGTAGCTGCCATAGCCAGCCCCAAATGCCTTGTGCTGACTGCCAGCTCTATCTAGTACCCAGCAAAGTATGACAGTCACAGCCTCAGAAAAACACAGCCTTACTGAGGTGCTGAGAGACAAATCCTTGGGGGGTGATCCTGGTTTAATAGATTGGCCAAGACTGCTCTGGTCTCCCATCTTAGAGACCTCATCCTGCCTAATAGTGAGAAGCAAGGTGAGACAGGGAACAGAGGACATCTCACCCTTCTGCCTGTCAAGGGCTTAAATGAAGTCAGCCTGAGGAGTCCTCTGTGTAAGTGTATGAGTTTATGTGGGTGCATGGGAGTTTGAGTGTGTATGTGTATGTGCATGTATATATTGAAAAGTAGGGAGAATCAAGATGTCTGGCAGGGAGAGGGAGCACCCTTCTCCAGGTATGATGCCCCAAGGAAACTCTCCAGCCCCTCTTCTCCACACTTCTCATAATGACGGAATCCTTGAATCTGTCTCTGAAAAGGCTGGCATCAGTCCTGGGGTCTAAACTTAGCAGAAGAGCCCTGGGAAGAAAGAATTCAAAGCCTTCTGCTGCTTTGTGGAGTACACTTTCACACAGAGAATTGGAACAAATTCAAAATGGCTTCTACATCGAGAACATGGAGGAATAAATATGTAGGCCCAGAAA